TTCTTCTCCTCTGAAGTAGGAGTAGTTTTAATCATGCGTAGTCAGTATTGACGAGTCCAAAGAGAATCATGCCACTGATGATAAAGGTAGCTCCAAAATGCATCAAGCAGATTGCATCAATGAAGGGAGTCTCACCTCAGCAGCCTGATTGTTGAAACTTCAACTGCGGGCTGATTGTTGAAATTCATAGACAAAACGATAGACACAGAGGACGTGATGAGTAGAAAGCGATCCTCTTGGTTAATTCGGGTGGTTCATATAGACTAAGGGTGAAAATGATGGACTAACTAAAGGGTCTCTCGTGGTTGCCATCAGTTACTCTATCACCAATCTCTTTTGTCCATTGCAGCCACTTGCCTCCTCCAATAGTATCCTTACTGTCTTCTTTGTCTAAAGCTTTGTCTATCAACTTCAACAATCAGCCCGCTGGCTTTGGCGGGAAGATAATACGAGACACAGCCCTATCTTCGTTGTGTAATATATAGATTTTCGATTTCTGTCATACCGGTATTTTCAACAAGCAGGCTGCTGGTTCAATCATGCTAAATCTTAGTTCTAAGTTTGACTGGTGAGGATTCGTGATGCTTCTACTCACAGCAAATTAACGTAGTCTCCAACCCCGAGATCGATGTCGTTGAGTTGAGCGATGAAAAGGAGGCTGATGGGCATGTGCGCCGCGGATCCGTTCAGATTCAAGTTGCCGATCGGCAGAACGAATCGGGTGATCCGCTTGTCCATCTTCACTTCGTCCTCCAGAACTTTGAAAGTTATCGGTATCGACGCAGCTCTGAAAAATCACTGCTTTGTAGATTTTTTATATAAAAAGTTATGCCTCATGAACGAGGGTTGCCACAGTCCGGGGATGTTTGGAAATAACATGGAAAATGACGAAAATGTCAGGTAAAAATCCTCAAATTACCTTCAGTTGCTTTTTTGAGTGGGTTTGACGTTTCGAACAACAAGCTTTGCCTGAAAACTATTTCTAAGTATGCCTTTCTAACAATCTGGCATTTGTTCAATTGTCAGGGAATTTCACCAAAATATATCAGGGAAATCAGGAAATGTCAAAGAATTTAATTTCCAAGTTCTGTGGCAACCCTGGAATGCGAGTGCACGTCGGACAGTGATTTGACGCAAAGGAATGATAATACTGAGTATACTCGTAAAATCGTAAAGTTCCCTATTAGGTAAAAGTGAAACATCATGATGTTTAAATGGGCGCATTTAAACGGAGGAACTGTATCCATACTGAAATAAGCCTTTCTCTTTCAGAGTCAAATACGTCCAAAATTGAGCGTTTGGTTGCGCGTACACCAAGCTAAAGCACAGCAAAAGCACAACTTATAAAAGAAAAAATTGGAGTGCTTTAGAAATCAATAATTTTGAAACGGAACCACCTTAATATTTACAAAACGTACATTATATTTTTCGTGAATACATATTTTTTTTCATCAGTTTAAATGGGAATAATCCGTCAGAGTGTGAAAACATTTCGAAATCATGATTTGAAAAACGCTGACTCCGCGAGTTTAAGTATGAGAGCCTGACACAAAGCGAGGCGACGTGCTGCCAGCGCGGAACGCCCTCTAGCCCCTACAAACCTAAAGAGATACTTCACGCATTGCGCAATGCTTGCAGTATCCCCTTAGGTTTGAAGGCGCTAGCCGGCCGCAGCGTGCCACGGCGCCTCTAGCAACTATTTCGCGCCCGAGGTGTTGCACAGTATCATATAAAATTGAAGGAGCTCCGACTTATTGAGAATGACAAGCATCCTTTAAGAGTATGGAGCTTTACTCGCAAAATAAATCAAGATACTACGGCACAAAAAGAGAGTTAATGAATGACAGGGGTCATGTCACAATGGATGTACCTATGGTTCCTTCCGATTTCAATGCGCCCAACTGATGATGCGAACTACGGAAAGGTCTTCATTGATCATCAATTGTAGTTGTACTGGATTGTAATATGGCCCGGTTCCTCTCCCCTCGGACGGTCCTAAATGAGCTACATTTTGCAATGGAATTACTATCTCTGGCTCATTCATAAAATCACCTATCTACACAGGGAAACTAATGCGACCATATGATGTTTCCACAAAGAGGTAGAGACAGTAGTCTCTAATTGCATAATGGGGTCAGTATGAAGACTCCCGGCTTTTGTAATTTCTCAACCGGCCGGTGTTCTAGAATATCTTCAGTAGAAAATCTCGGCAGCTGGTTTTGCTAAGGTTCGATCAGACCATTCAAATCTATGTGAAACAATTGGACTACCTTTTGGAATTCGGAACCACAATTTCTGGCTCATCGTCAGTTAAATAACAACGTATGTACCATAAGTTTCCAATTTTCCATGTACACATAATAAGTGCTTTTATAGGTGAGCTAGGAATCATAGTTCCTCATTGCAAAATGTAGTCGAAATAACATTCGTCGCTGCAGGCTCCACTCATGGTATAAGTAGTCGATAAGTCCATCCATAAGTAAGAACGCCGTATGAACATTCGAGGGTTGCCAAATTTTCCCGGTTAAAACGTGTATAAGTAGTAAAGGTATGCATCACCGAAAAAAAAATTAAGTTGATTTAACATTCTGAATGTAGAAAAAGTGTACTAGAACTTATACAATTCTGAATCATCCACTACAGCAGTCACTTTAGCATTATCGAGATGTAATACTAACTCTGTGGCGGGTAATTCAGCATTTTATAAATTCTCGGGCTCTGTTTTTCACATCTAGAATGTTACATGAACTTTACTTTTTTTCGGTGATCTTTTTCTTTATAATTTTTAGATATTTTAGAATAAATCGCGAACAAAATTGTCTGAAAATTTTGAAGAAAATATTCGCGATTTTCCCAGGAAATAATTTTTCTATTGAAGGATATATGGCAACGTCTGAAGTCTCAACGGCGTCTCTCTTTAGGACGGCAGTTCACCTGTCATACAGGGTGATCCAAAAGTCCCTTTCACCCCCTCTAACTTTTTACCTAATTGAGGTAAAGATTTGAAACTTCGGGGATGTTCCTAGGTCAAAGGGAGCTACTTTTTGGCCCCCCTTGGGGGGACAACGGACCCCAACTTTTAATTTTCAAATGGGAAGACCCTCTTTGTGATAGCTCGTTCGAAAGAACATAAAAAAAGAAAACTTTTCGCGCAAACCCGAAGTCAATATCTCAAACCGTTTCAAAATGGCGGCCGGTTAAAGTTCAAAATGACCGAAAATTCACACCGGTTATTTGTCGATGGAATTGCGCGAAAATCGGTGTGTACGGGTACTTTGACACGAGAAAAACGAATTTGACGTTAGATTTTCAAAAAACCGAAATTTCCAAAATGGCCGCCGGTTAAAGTTCAAAATGACCAAAAATTGATTTTTTTAGAAATCTAAGTTCAAATGTGTTTATCTAATGCCAAAACAGTCTCAAATTCCAAGTTTTAGGCAAATCCATCAGCAAAAAACCGAGGTGACAATTTTCGGCCATCTTAAACTTTAACCGGCGACCATTTTGGAAATTTTGATTTTTTTAAAATCTAACGTCAAATTCGTTTTTCTCGTGTCAAAATACCCCTACATACCGATTTTCGCGCAAATCCATCGACAAATAATCGGTGTGAATTTTCGGCCATTTTGAACTTTAACCGGCCGCCATTTTGAAACGGTTTGAGATATTGACTTCGGGTTTGCGCGAAAAGTTTTCTTTTTTTATGCTCTTTCGAACGAGCTATAATTAAAAGTTGGGGTCCGTTGCCCCCCCCAAGGGGGGCCCCCTTTGAAATTTTAGGGGGGCCAAAAAGTAGGTCCCTTTGACCCAGGAACATCCCCGAAGTTTCAAATCTTTACCTCAATTAGGTAAATAGTTAGAGGGGGTGGAAGGGACTTTTGGATCACCCTGTAGATATCGTTTATAATAGTTTTGAATGAAGAAAAAAGTTATTTGGAGCAACTGCCGAGAATCGCTCGTTGGTATCTTACTTGGAAGAGGTGGCAAAAGCGGTGAGCAAGGAAGGCGCCAGCTGAGCGTAATACGCGAAGGGATTCTGGCGAACGATGAAGAAGTATATCAATTGGACGATGAAGAAATGGTAGAGTGACAGTGCTAAGAAGACGGTGAGAACGAGCCACGCCAATCGGTCCATCGCTTCGCCGATATTCGGCAATGAGGCGATTCTCCCGCACAAAATACTCCCGACGCTGAACGGGGTGAGCCTGCAACAAACACCAATGAGTCAGTCGCGCTGCTCACAGAATCCTGTTTTAATGCTTCATTCTTTTAGATCAGCTGAAAATAATGAGATCCGTCCGAATGGCAACTTTTTACGTTCAATATTAATCGAGATTTCGCGCCTCACTGGAAAAAAAGTCGCCTACATCTAGAGTCCAAACTCTTAAAAACATTGACAAGAAAAAATACTCTCGATTCAATTGGACTCTTCGCTTGAATCATAAAGAAATCCTCCTAAATCAAGAGGCTCGGCTCTTCGATTCGAGGAAAAATCGGATTGAATTAAGAGTATTTTCTCTTGTCAATGTTATTAAGAGTCTGGACTCTAGATCCGAGCGACTATTTTTTCCCGTGCTTGAAAAGTCGAGTTTTTGACAGCATCCATCGCGGCAGTGACACCCTCGGTTTCTTCCACCTTGCTTTCATCCGTCGGGTTGACGCGCAATTGCACTGGTTGTTCAACGTGAAATTCGGATGAAAGCAAGAT